GCCGGAGCCCGAGCTGGCGCTGGACCTCAGCCGGCTGCCGCCCGAGCTGCTGCTGCTGGTGCTGAGCCACGTGCCCCCGCGCGCGCTGCTCGCGCGCTGCCGCCGGGTGTGCCGCGGCTGGCGCGCCCTGGTGGACGGCCAGGCTCTGTGGCTGCTGATCCTGGCCCGCGACGGCGGCGCCGCCGGCCGCGCCCTGCTGAGGCTCGCGCGCAGCTGCCCACCCCCGGCCCGCGACGCCCCGTGCTGCCGCCTCGGCCGCTTCTGCGCGCTCAGACCCCTCGGCCGCAACCTCATCCGCAACCCCTGCGGCCAAGGTGGGCTCCGGGAGCGGGGTCCCGGGGCGGGGGCGGGGTCCCAGGGCGGGGGTGCTGGAGCAGCTTCTGTTTGCAGAGGGCCTGCGGCAGTGGATGGTGCAACACGGTGGGGACGGCTGGGTGGTGGAGGAGAACACGAGGGCGGTGCCCGGGGCGCCTTCGCAGACCTGCTTCGTGACTTCCTTCAGGTGAGCGCCCCCCGGCCCCGGACCCCGCTGCTGGGGTGGTCCCGCCTGCCGCCGTTCTTACCGCTTCTCCGCCTCCCTAGGTGGTGCTCCAAGAAGCAGATCCTGGACCTGGAGGAGGAGGGGCTGTGGCCGGAGCTGCTGGATAGCGGCGGGATTGAGATCTGTGTCTCTGACTGGTGAGTGTGGCCCTGGAAGCCGCCCGAGCGTCCTCTCCCCGTGGCTGGCTCCAGCCGGAGCCCCGGGAGAAGGGCCCCGGCCACAGCTCTGCCGCCCGGCCCGCGGGCTTCCGCGCCCAGGTCTTGGCCGTGAATGACAGACTCCAGGCGGGGGATCCTAGAGCCAGCCCCGGCAGGTTCCCGGCCCACCTGCCCGGCGCTGCGTCTCAGTGGCCTTGGGCGAGCCCCGGGACCCCCACCTGCTCTGTACAGGACGCGGCTGTAACAGCCACGGTCGCAGGCAGGCAGAGCTCCACGAGCCTGAGCACCGTTTTGGACTTGACCCCGGGGCAGGTGTATTCCAGCCCTCGGATCTTTCGTTTCCACACAACGAGGGCTGGGACCTGGAGTGGGGCCCCGTGGGGCGGCCAACTTCACAGCTGGGACCCTGTCGAGATGCTCTGGACCCCGGGGTGCGTGGAGACGTTCCAAGGAGTTAAGTTTCAGGCCCCCGTTACTCCTCAGCTGTCTAGCATATGTCATCACGGGATAATCACCGGGTCCCCAGTTTTACCGAACAGCTTGCAGGGGGCTTTGAAGTGGCTGCCGCCCGGGCCCCATCCTCCCCGCAGCGGGATCGAGAGTCCTGGAGTGGGAGCCCGGCTTGGGCCGGTATCTGCGAGCAGTCCAGATCTAACCCGTCCTGGGTCCTGGCTTTGATGTGTAGGATACTGCCCATCAGGGGCACTCAGCTGAGGGCCCAGTGGTAATCTCAGCCTGACGCAAAGCCCCACCCCCACCTTAAGTGGTGTTCTTGGTCCTTCAGCAGTGGCCAGCTCACACCCTCAGGCTGTCAACATGGGTGTGGCCGGTAGAGGACCTGGTGTGACCCAAGGTCCCCATCAGGCAGTCACTGGGTCAGGCCGCATGTTCCAGGGGTCAGAGCAGCTCTCCAAAGACCCGTTTCTTCCTTAAAAGAGTTTTTTAAGAAGTGTATTTGAGGGACCAATACTGTGGTGTAGCAGGTAAAGCTGCCCCCTGCAGCGCCAGCATCACATATGGGCGCCGGTTCAAGTCCGGCTGCTCCACTTCCCATCCAGCTCTCTGCTATGGCCTGGGAAAGCAGTAGAAGATGGTCCAAGTCCTTGGGCCCCTGCACCCGCATGGGAGACCTGGAAGAAGCTCCTGGCTCCTGGCTTCAGATTGGTGCAGCTCCAGCCTATGCGGCCATCTGGGGAGTAAACCAGTGGGTGCAAGACCTCTCTCTGTCTCTGCCTCTTCCTCTCTGTAACTCTGCCTTTCAAATAAATAAATAAAGCTTAAAAAAAAGTATATTTGAAAGGCAGAGCAACAGAGAGAAAAAGAGATCTTTCCCCAAACAGCTGCAGCAGCCAGGACTGGGCCAGGCTGAAGCCTCCATCCGGGTCTCCCTCATGGGTGCAGGGGCCCAAGCACGTGGGCCATCTTCCGCTGCGTTCCCAGGTGCATTAGCAGTGGGCTGGATAGGAAGTGGAGCAGCCGGGACTGGAACCTATGCTCTGACGTGGGATGCCTAACCCCGTGCGCCACAACACTAGCCGGCTAGAAGAGCCCTTAGAGGAAGTGGCTTGCGTGCGGGAGGAGCCACGCAGAGGTGGGTGGCAGCCCCTCCGCCAAGGCCTCCCTGCCCCCGCAGGTGGGGAGCCCGGCACGACTGCGGCTGCAGGTATCAGCTCCATGTGCAGCTTCTAGACGCCAACCAGGCCGTCCTCGACAAGTTCTCGGCCGCGCCGGCCCCTGTCCAGCAGTGGAACAACAATGCTTACTTTAATGTGAGTGCTGATGGAGCCAGGGCGAGGGAGGCGGGGCCCAAGACCCTTTATTGCCGCATAACCCGTCCCCCGACACTAAGCGGCCACAGTTGTTTCAGCACCGCTCGGGGCTTCCAGTCGGTGATGGGAGAAGCTCTCACTGGGGTTGTTCTGGCGCCAGGCTCACCTGCACACAGCGGCCACTCTCAGGGTCGCACAGTGGCTTTCAGATGTGGGCAGCTGGAGCTGGGCACAGGGCGGCGGGTACAGGTGATCGCCCGTTGGGCTCAGAGCGCCCTTCAGGCAGCGGTGGGCTCCAGGGCGCAGGGGCGGGGCAGAGTAGCAGCAGCTGCTTTGCATTTTTTTTTTAAAATTTTAAGGTTTTATTTCTTTATCTGAGAGTCAGAGTTACAGAGAGGGAGAAATGAAGAGAGGTCTTCCATCCCTTGGTTCACTCCCCAAATGGCCACAACAGCCGAAGCCAGGCACTCCCTCTGGGTCTCCCACGCAGGTGCAGGGGCCTAAGCACTTGGGTTATCCTCCACTGCTCTCCCAGGCCATAAGCAGAGAGCTGGATGGGAAGCTGAGCAGCCGGGACAGGAACCGGCGCCCATATGGGCTGCTGGGACCGCAGGCGTAGGCTCAGCCACTGCGCCCACAGCGCTGGCCCCTGCTTTTCCTTTCCTGTCCTGGTCTTGGAAGTCACTTGGCCAAAGTCACCCGGCACCACTTCCGCCACGTTCTTGGTGACCAGCCACTGCACTCAGATCCAAGGGGAGGGACTCAGAGGCCTCCTCCTGGTGAGGGAGTGGTAAGGTTCTAGAAGAACAGGTAGAGTGGGAGATGACGTAGCTGCCATCTTTGGAAAATTCCATCTGCCATGTCGATTTGAGAGGCAGCAAAACAGGAAGAGAACTCCCACCTGCTGGTCCGTTCCCCCAAACGCCTGCCGGAGCCGGGAACTCAGTCCTGGTGGGTGGCAGGGACCCGATGACTTGAGCCATCCCTGCTGCCTCCCAGGGTCAGCGTTAGCAGGAAGCTGGAGCCAGGTGCCCAACCCAGTGGCCCCGATGTCTTAACCGCGGGGAGAAGTGCCCGCGCCCAGCCTGGGCTCTGCAAGGCCTCCTCTGCCCCCAGGTCAGCCACGTGTTCTCCAGCATCCAGCCTGGCGTCCGCTTTGTGTCCTTCGAGCACTGGGGCCAGGACACACAGTTCTGGGCTGGCCACTACGGAGCTCGCGTGACCAACTCGAGCGTGATCGTGAGAGTCCGGCCCACCCCGTGAGCGGCCGCCCCGCTTCCAAGCCAGCCTGACGCAGCCGGCTGGGACCCCACACCCACCCAAGCGCTCGCACCTCCCTGGCAAGGGTCCTGCCACAGCCTCTCTGCTGGTATCAAAAACTACTGGAAACTTCTTCTGTCAGGTCTACCTACTGCTCTGCTTTGGGGGGACCCCACAGTATGCAGGGGCCGCTGGTCCTGGTGAGAGCCTCCCCCAGAAGCCCCCTCTGGTTCAGCCCCAGCCCCGTCAACCCCTCTGTTCCATTGGCCTCTTTTCGCCTCCTGTTTCGGGTGTAGGAATTCCCTTGGTTCCTACCGGGAAGCCCTGTGCCCATCTCTGAACTCGGGCAAGATCCCAGCCACCGTGGGGGTGAGCTTCACCCCCCGGGCTTCCGGGCCACAGGGCTGGGACCGGGTCAAGCAGTGGCGCCAAGGCGGCCCCCAGCCCGCACTGACGCTGCAGGACCTCTGTGATGGTGTGGCGTTTACGAGTATTGTATTTTTCATTTTGACTTGTAAGCAATGAGAGTAATATATCAGCAGCATGACTCTGCTACTTGTATGTAATAAAGTAATTATTTTGCCAAAATTGCTTCAGATCTTTTTATTTTTTTTTTTTTTAAGATTTATTTGTAAGGGCCAGTGCTGTGGCATAGCGGGTTAAGCCACTGCCTGCAGTGCCAGCATCCCATATGGGTGGCGGTTCAAGTCCCAGCTGCTGCACTTCCAATTCGTGCTAATGTGCTTGGCAAAGCAGCAGAAGATGGCCCCAAGTCCTTGGGCCCCTTGCACCCACAAGGGAGACCTGGATGAAGCTCCTGGCTCCTAGCTTTGGCCTGGCCCAGCTCCAGCTGTTGTGGCCATTTAGTGAACCAGCAGATGGAAGACATCTCTCTGTCTGCCTTTGCCTCTCTTTTGTAACTCTGACTTTCAAATAATTTTATGAAAAGGGCAACAGAGAGTGGGAGACATCTTTACTCCCCAAATGGCCACAGTAGCCGGGGCTGGGGCAGGCTGAAGCCAGGAGCCAGGAACTTCACCAGGTCTCCCACATGAGGTTTGGGCCATCTCCCACTGCTTTCCCAGGCGTGTTAGCAGGGAGCTGGATCAGAAGCAGAGAGGCCTGGACCCAGCACTTTAATACGGGGCGTCAGCATCACAAGCAGTGGCTTAGTGTCCTGTCCCACAGTGCTGGCCCCTTGGCCAGATCTTTTAAACAGAAGTGCAGTGCTACTGCCTTGGTAACTTCGAGACTCCAAATGTTCTGGGTTGAGGGGAGAGCGCTCTGCAGGATACCAGCTCCTCCCAGTACAAGGAATGGAGCCGCTGCAGCAGTGTTTGCCAAGGCCTGCGGAGACCACTGATCAGAGATTGCTGTCGGTGTCAGGAGCACTGGGGGACAGGCTCTGGGTACAGTGCCGAGGTGACACTGCGCTCCGGTTACTGGGGCTGAGGGCAGCATGGAGCCATGAAGCCATGGCGGGCAGGAGCAGGGGTCTGGGCTGTCCCCAGCCTCACTGTTGCTGGGGCAGTGAGGTGCTCCGGTGCCCCGAGGCAAGGCAAGGCAAGGTTGTGGGGAGCAACTCGGACTAGACTAAGTTACTGGAATTAAGACTTATTCTATGCATCTGCTCTCCCACAATATGGCGCTGGGAGAGGAGGTAACAGCTTCTACACAGCTGCCTCCAGTTCAACCAATAAACAGCAGGACCTGCTCCTGATTGGAGGAGAGCAGCGTACCCGGCGTGTGGGTAGCAGAGTTGGGATTGGTGGAAGAGGACTATAAAGGAGGAGAGAGACAATATGCACCAGGAACATCTATCTGAAGGAACACCTGTGCAGCCCCCGAGAGAGCCGGCCGGCGGTGTGCTGCTCCCCCGCGGAAGTGGGGAATGTGGCAGGGGAACCGCCCTTCCACAGAGGTGGAAGGGACGGTAGCCAACCCGGGAAGAACCAGCAGCAAACCCGGGGAGGGCCGAGCAGACGAAAGAACAGCGCAGGGTCCTGTGTCGCTCCTCCACGAAGACGGGGAGCGACATAATGGTGCCGTGACTCGGATAGGAAGCCTAGGCAGGGCTTAGTGTCGTTCCTCCACGAAGAGGGGGAGCGACAAAGGTGAGTGAAGCCGGCCACCTCTCCACCTCTCGGGTTCCTGCCTTGCGGGGGTGGAGCCTCTGCCCATGGCATCCCATGCGGGCGCTTTCTGACCATGGCGGGTGACGTCCCCGACAGGCCCATCGCAAGTGGAAAACAGGATACTTCGGAGCTGGTGCTGTGGTGTAGCATGTGAGGCTGCCACCTGCAACACAGGCACCCCATATGTGCACCGGTTCAAGTCCTGGCTACTCCACTTCCGATCCAGCTCTCTGTTATGGCCTGGGAAAGCAGCAGAGAATGGTCCAAGTGCTTGGGCCCCTGCACCCACGTGGGAGACCTGAAAGAAGCTCCTGGCTCCGGGCTTTGGATTGGTGCAGCTCAAGCCCTTGCGGCCATTTGGAGAGTGAAGCCTGCTGTGCCCGCACACCGGTGTCGCTCCCCCTCTTCGTGGAGGAACGACACAGGACCCTGTGTTGTTCTTTTGTCCGCTCGGCCCTCCCCGGGTTTGCTGCTGGTTCTTCCCGGGTTGGCTACTATCCCTTCCACCTCCGTGGAAGGGCAGTTCCCCCTGGCCGCATTCCCCACTTCCGCAGGGG